GCCTAAAGTACAGTTTTTTGAAAGTTTTTGGCCGCTGGTTTCACCATTTGTGGTTGTCAGACGAGGAAAATCTTGGATATTCACTCCTGATAATAAATTACTTCCTTTCGAATATCAACTAATTTTCCCAAATTCTTTCCAGGAAGTCCCCGTGATTTTATTGACAGGCACAACATGACGATAAAGTTGCGGCTGAACTACTGACTGATGATCACCTCAGGCAGAGTGTTTCAGACTTATCTGGAGGCAGGTCACATATTTTATAATTATACACTGGTGTGAATACCATTGATCCTTGTTAGTTCGTTTGATTTGAATATAAAATGTGGACAATATTAATATCAAAATAGATGAGCTTTTCAGCTCTGCAGTCGACTTTGTCAACGGAGCTAATCATACGAGTGATTGTCTGTAGTCGACGTCCATGTCAACTTTTTATTTTATTTGCAGTATTTGGGAACTTTTATGCAATTCAGGTACCTTTATATTACCGGGGTAATACAGTACATGTATTATTAAAACTACAAAACATTATTATATTGTAACCGTATAAATTTATAGTTACCTGAGTATTTATTTAATTTATATCCTCAGATAGTCTGATAAGACTTTATGCTTAATTTTTATTCAATATTTAATATTTAGATCACAACAGGCAAGTTTGTAATAGTTTTACTGTTTTGTTTTTTTTTGAGATGAGATCAAGGTGGTCAACTGCTTGGTGGTGATCAAGTTAATCTGGGATGCAGTGAGACCCAATTGTCATCCGATACATGTATACCTTAATTTGTTTGTGGTCTGATCGAATTTAACCGACTGACTGACAAAATCCAAGAACGTCATTACAACCATGATGGCAATTTCAATTAAACTCACACATGGATGCCATTATAACTTATTTCTTATCCGCCTTTGAATCTACCTCCTATTTCAGCTGCCATAGCTCAAACAAGACATGCTGTAGAGTGGACAATAGTTTACCTGGTACATTTCCCTGATGTACAAGCCAAAGTTCACCAAGAAATTGAGGAACAGATTGGTGTTGACTGCTTACCGAATATAAGTGATAAAGACCGCTTTCTGTTTTGCCAGGCAGTGATAATGGAAATAATGAGAGTGAGGACTGTGGTGCCATTGTCTTTACCATTGAAAACCACATGTGCAACAACTCTGGGTGAGTCAGTTAATATACCCCTGTATTGGAAGTGTGCACCAAACTTTAGAGTCGCATGCTTTTCCCTAATGTTCATTTCACTGTACATAACAGTTTTTAGCTGTGGTATGCTTTATATTATGATCATTTAATAATATCTCAACCATTAATGAAATGTACATCCACATTCTAATCGGTGAATAAGAGATCAATTTCAAGATGCTCATGTCTTTGGATACGTGTATTATAAAAGGATGTGTAAACTTTTTTGACAAAAATAAAACTGATGAATGAATGAACTTGGTTATGCATTTAAATTGAGTTAGCTGCCCAATCAAAATAATGTAATGAGGACTGCACTCCACAATCCCTGGATCAGGGCATCCAATTTGCCCAATGACATATCAAAAATTATTAATTATTGTGGAGTCCTAACATATGAATTATACTGAATTACTCATGAATGTGTTTACAGGTGGCTTTAATCTTCCAAAGAAAACCGTTGTCTGGCCAAATTTATGGGCATTACATATGGATGAACGCGAGTGGGACAACCTTGAATTCCACCCAGGTATGCTGTGCATTAGTTTGTTCCAGGCATATATTATTCATATGAAAGCTTTGCTGTTCATGAAAGCATTACGTACTAATATTGTACAGTAAATATGGCACCATTAAAGTTATTAAATCATTCTGTGTCATCAATTCATCATTCAAACTTTTTTACATTCTCGTTTTGTCAACAGGAATTGTGAATTTTTATTCGGTGCTAATATCTTTCCCATGATGCAAAACATGAAACAGCATCAACATGTATTTGGGATACTGAAAATACAATTCTCTTCACAGAACGTTTTCTGAATGACGAAGGCAATCTGGCACCAAAGCCAGAAAGTTATCTCCCATTCTCTGCCGGTCGACGTGGATGTCTTGGAGAAGCGCTTGTCAAAGATGAATTATTTCTCATGTTTACTTGCCTGCTGCAGCAATTTGTATTTACTGTACAACCGGGAGCTGAAAAACCTAGTTTGGTTCCTTATTGTGAAGCTTTTAACTTAAGATGTCAAAAGTATGAAATTATTGGTAGAAAACAGAACAAGTAAACAGTTTTTATCTCATGATGATGGTTCAAAATTTCCCAAATCCACTGTACAAGTAATTTTTATTATCATTTTTCCAAATCCAGTGAATTTAGTGTCAACTTTTTTTATCCAACATCGATGCATTTATTTTGATTTGAAAATGTCGTTGAAGTTGTGCTTATATTTTGATTTTCCCTGAAAATGTAATTTTTCTTCTATTTTTTCTAAAAATAATTGATTTCATGTATAATATTCGATCAAACCCACATGACGTTTTAGAGCATTAACAGATTCTCAAATTGCTACATTATTGTGTTATCACATGACGTTTTAGAGCATTAACAGATTCTCAAATTGCTACATTATTGTGTTATCACACGACGTTTTAGAGCATTAACAGATTCTCAAATTGCTACATTATTGTGTTATCACATGACGTTTTAGAGCATTAACAGATTCTCAAATTGCTACATTATTGTGTTATCACACGAGAATATTTCTTAATAATCTTGTCATTTAATATATTCATTTTTTCAAGTTGGTTACAAAAATTGAGTATAACCGAAGTGAAAGTGAAAATTGTATTTTTATATTAAAGCGCGGTGGTCATCGTGCAATGCTTGTTCAAATTTCATGTATTTTACACACGTTTTATACGTTGCTATGAGTCCCATATCGAACAGGGCGCGACGACTGCCACCCTTTAATCAGATCGCTGTGTTAATGTATTCCCAGCAAAATTTGACATGAAACAGTTGTGTTATTTGCAAAATTCTTGCTAATAGCGAATCACCAAGCAATTTTTGAATTTTCAGCATCTCAGGGGGTCATTAAGACACCATATCAAACACAGGATTTTCTTTTCAAGCGAACTTTGAACATTGTTATAAAGTGCATACATATACATGCAAACCATTTGAATAATGTAATATTAAAAAGAAATGTCCATTGCATCTTGTCATGTGGTATCATGGGACCTGCACTATGTATACTGCATGTTTAGACAACCATGTACACCCTGGAGAGAGTTTATGGATAAATTAAACACTTAGAATGCTTTTTCAAATATTTACACCTGCAACAAAATGATACAAACCCTGAAATTTGCATAAAAAAACATCCATATACGAATGGTGGGGAAAATACAAAGTACCCCCCCCCCCCCCCAATAATTGTCAGTGAAGAGAAGTCCAACTGTTGCACGGAAAGCTACTCATAAGAGCACTTAGCTATACAAGTGCTATCGTTTAGCGAATCAAAAAAAAAAAATATTTAAGCACAGGGTTGCTTATTGGATTAATTTTCAGATTTTAACAAAAGTATTCAATGGTGCAATCTTAGGGATTTAGGAGCTCCAGTTTAAGTTTGTGACACTAACAAGGTTAGTCTTACCGCCATTGGTGTACATCGCCCTCATAAGGTCAATTTATGCCACTGTTAGGCAAATTGAAAATAACATCACTTCTTCACAACTCCAAGCAATTGGAGTCTCTACATTACATTTTGATTTAATTTTGAGTTGAAGATTGAAGTACGGTACTTCAATGGATGTCACTACAAAAAGACAATATGATGCAGCTTGAGGGGGTATTACTGCCACTGACAGCATTTTATTGTAGTAATTCGTTCATATTTATCTCTGTACAACAGTACAAAATAGACATGCATATACATCTCAATGAAATACACATAACTTTTCACAAAAATATTTTTTTTACAATCATAACTTAAACTTGTCATTACAAAATAAAACAGCTGCAAACTATGACTGTGGATCTTCCCTGTCAATTTGTGTTTCTCATGAAAACGACTAAGGTTCAATGGAGTGGGAACAAAATGTTGAGCATACGATTAATGTGGGTGAGGGAATTTGAAAAAAAGTATCTGGGAATGGTGGTCTACAATTAATGCAAAATGTTACTCTTCTAAAAATAGTTCTGTTGAAAAGCTGCAATTGCATTATTTAAGTACAGTTTCTATGGTGACCTGTGATTTCACGTCCTACTACTTCAATTCTGCGTAGGAAACGGGAAAAAAAAAAGTTCAAGTACTAAAAGTACAAAGCAGAGTTATACTGCCCTCTAGCAAATAGAATTAAGGAAATGGCGCCCTCAAGTGTTAGATATTGGTCGATGGCACAACATATCCTTCCATACTACTGGGGGTCGGTGGACATACCATATTTTTTACCATTCAACACACATTTCATTGATATTTTGTGATCATTTTTTAAAAACTTACAGCAGTTCACATTGCATCATCACAATTAAAATTGTTCATTTCAAATTTGTACCAAGATTGGAAAAAAATTAACAGTTTGCAAATGCCACTCAATTGTAAAATGTCATTCTTCTACATTGCTATAACACGTCATCAAAACAGAGGAATGGACAGGACATAGTTGAAAATTGAACTCAAGCTATGAAAGCACTTCACCACCCCCACTCGCATCTCTGAACCCCCATCCACACCCCAACCCTCCTCTATTTTAGACATCCCTTTAATCAATAAATTATTAAACCCACTTATTTTGTCACACTATGCATGGACTGTACTATTAACGTATGTAACTGGTTAAAACTAGAAAAAATATACTAAACAACAAAACTATACAAGACTTTTTTTTTCAATATAAAACATTCATCTAAATAAAAATACCTCTTTTTAATTAAAGCTTTCAAGACAAGCAATGTCTTGATAGTTTTTTGGGTTCCACAAAAGCATCGTCTTTCCATAGATTGTCCGTGGAACCAGAGAAAAAATTGCTATCAAAAATTTATACAATTTCACCGCCAAGTCTTAGGTCTTCAGTGAAACCTCTCTGAACCAAAAAGAAGTGGTGTGACGGAGAGCTTTATATGTGCAAACCAGTACAGAAAAAAAGCATTCGAATCAGACAGGTTTCTGATTTACATGCAGAACATATTTCAAGACTGAAAAAGATTGACATTGGCGGTGAAACCACAAGAAAATGCCCACGAATAAAATTGCATAATAAATATTTTGTTAAGTTTGATTGTTTTTCAGCCTGAAAGTCATGTTTTTCAGGGATTGTCAGAATGATAAATATGGTTGCTATAAATGTAGTTGATGATGCCAATACATTCATATTTGAACTGTTATCTGACAAGTAATTTTATAGAATTTGAGCTAAGTTTTTTGAAAACATTTTAGATTCACAATAAAGAATTAAGCTTAAACGAGTTCTTGCACAGAAACAGAAAAGATTATGCAAGACTGGCATCATGAACTTGTGAATATGCATAAGACTAGTATTAACTCATGAATATGCATTATACTGGTCATTTACTCATGAATATGCATAGTACTGGCCTTTTACTCATGAATATACATAAGACAAGCATGAATATGCATAGATACTGTCTTTTACTCATGAATATGCATAAGACAAGCATGAACTCATGAATATGCATAGATATTGGCCTTTTACTCATGAATATGCATAATACAAGCATGAACTCATGAATATGCATAGATATTGGCCTTTTACTCATGAATATGCATAAGACAAGCATAAACTCATGAATATGCATAGATATTGGCCTTTTACTCATGAATATGCATAAGACAAGCATGAACTCATGAATATGCATAGATATTGGCCTTTTACTCATGAATATGCATAAGACAAGCATGAACTCATGAATATGCATAAGACAAGCATGAATATGTATAGATACTGGTCTTTTACTCATGAATATACATAAGACAAGCATGAATATGCATAGATACTGACCTTTTACTCATCAATATGCATACAACGAGCATGAATATGCATAGATACTGTTCTTTTACTCTTGAATATGCATAAGACGAGCATGAACTCATGAATATGCATAGAAACTGGTCTTTTACTAGTGAATATGCATAAGACGAGCATGAACTCATGAATATGCATAATACCTGTATTTTACTCATGTATATGCATGAAACTGGTGCATATTATTTCAGGGATTGTCAGAATAATAAATATGATTGCTATAAAAGCAGTTGATAATGCCAATACATTCATACTAAACTGTTACCTGACTAGCAGTTGTATAGAATGTGATCTTGATGAGCTAAGCCCAACCAAGCTAATTTTTTTTGAAAACATTTCAGGTTCACAATGGCGCATAAAGCTAAAATACAGACACAGAAAGAAATATGTACAAGACTGGCATGAACTCATGACTACAAATAATACTGATCTTTCACTCATGAATATGCATAAGATTAATATGAACTCATGAATATGCATGAGGCTGGCACCATGAATTTAAGAATATGCATAATACTAGTTCTGGAGCCTAATGAGGCTACACAAAAAAAACTTGTCAACAAGAAGACTGATAGGTTGAACCCCAATCTAAGTTAATAATGCAGTCCAGTAAGGACACTGAAAACAAACTAGCTAATTCTAAATGAACTTCTGAGAAGATAATGCATTATAAATCCCTTTGTAAAAAAAAGTATTTTCTTTTAAGAACACAAATATTTACAAGTACACAGATAACAGTCCCCCCCTCCCCCAAAAAAACAACAAATCCAAAAATCTGTATCAAACTTAATATAACAATAATTTAGACAATACAAAAAACAGATGTAAAGTATGTCATTTTGGAAAAAACAAACTAATGGTCACATCATAAAATTCATTGTGGTGGTTGAATCCATGGTAACATGACACAAACAAAGTTTCATTAAAGGAACGTTGACGCAACATACTTTCCAAGGAAGGTATTGAACCTTCTTTCAGATGCTAATGAATTTTGACCGGCACAAATTCAGTAACACTGTGTAACGCAAGGATGAATGCCTTTGCGAATACCCCCTCGTTGATAACACTGATAAGAGAAATCATGTTTATCATATAACCAAACTGGTTTGAACTTGTTAACTAGATCTGGTTTAAACTAGTTTATACTAGATCTACAATAAGAACAGTTGTGTTAAAATTATGTGGATTGCTCAATATACAAATAGGTTCGTTATAAAATAAATTATATGCGAGGGATATCTTAAAATTCTTAAAAAAGCAATGGTGCTTTATGAATAATCATTTCAGTTCAAAGAAATGGCAGAATTTGAAAATCTGGCAGCCAATGAAGAGACGAGCTTAGTTTTTTCTTCAAAGTTAAAGATAATTAAAGTTTTCTTCCATACTGGCGGTTGTATCAAAATTGGTTAAGTAGTGAACATGTGACAAATATATATTGTTAGACATTAGATGACATTCTTGGAACATCATAGTTTCATTTTGAAAATAGTTTGTTTGTATTTAAATTTACATATATTACTAAGTTTTTTGTATTAGAACTATTCATGTTTTTGTTTTGTTTTTTTATATTTTAAGAGTTTTCTGGTTTTCCATCATGTCTTTCAAACGAGAAAGATATTCTTCGTCTGTCACCATTTCCTGGTTTCTATGTTGATTTGGGGATTGTTGAGGACGAGCGTAAAGCGGGTTGCTGGCATAGTGGTTTGCAATCGGGGCAGTTCGTTGAGGTTGTTGTCGTTGTCTGTGTTCAGGTGACGGATTTGTTACTGCATGGGGATTGGCAAAACAATGCCTTGGTTGATTCGCCTCAGGATGTTGTAGGACAGTCAAACCCTCATCGTCCCAAGCATATTCCCCACTTTCTTTATCGCTCGGCATGTACGGTTGTTGTAGCGTTTCAAGAAGAAGATTTGGAATGGTGTTATCATCACTACTTGATGATGAATCGCTAGCGCTACTTGATGAATCACTATCTGATTCGCTGGCATTAGTTGTTACATCGCCATCATTGGTGTAAACACTACCGTCTTCAGCCTCAGCCAAGGAAAAGTCGTTGGATCCTACTTCAAATGAGTCTAGCATGGGTCGTATAAAGGCATGTTCAGGTACAGGCTCATCTGGTTGTTGGCATAGATAAATATAGCTATCATCAAGATTGCTGTCTTGATCTTCCTCCTCAGTTTCAGCTACAGGCATGCGTGGCATTTCGTCTTCTAGATCTGAATCAGTCTCGTGGATTGCAAGATTCATTCCATTATGCAAGGGTGCGTTCACATCATTTTCCCCACCGCTCTGATTATACATGTTATTGTGATCCGGATTGGCATACGACGGGTTGATAGACTCGATCGTTAATGGAACGTCCTGAAGTGGAGAATGTGTTGGACTATATGAGTGATTTCTAAAATTGTGTCGAGGACTGCTTTGATGAACGCGCTGAGGGCTGCCACGATGGCTGCTGTATGGACTGTTGTTGCTATGCCGACTACCAAGACTGTGATGTGGACTACCATCTCCATAGCAACCATCTGGTGATGCCTTATAGGCGGAGGATATTCCGCTATTGTGTGAGAGGGGACAAACAAATGAAGTTTCCTCTTCTCGCTCCAGTTCATCTTGTACGTCATCTGGATCGTTCTTCATAGACTAAGAGAACAGAAAGAGAAAATTAATCAATTCGTAAATTTTTTTTTTTTATCAAACAGCGGTTTTCACAATGCTCACTCAGGTGCACTGCATAGGAATAAAACCAACCTCATTCAGGGCGACTCACCTACTTACCCCATTCAAGGGCTATTACCTGTATTGCAGTATATTAATCCTCATTCAGGGGCCACTCATATGCATTAGTGGGTAACAAACCTCATTCAGCGGCCACTCACTTGCATTGGTGTATAACAATCCTCATTCAGGGGCAACTCTCTGCATTGCGGTATAATAATCCTCATTCAGGGGCCACTCGCCTGCATTGTGGTATAACAATCTATATTCAGGGGCTATTACCTGTATTGGTATATAACAATCCTCATTCAGGGGCCACTCACCTGCATTGGTGTATAACAATCCTCATTCAGGGGCACATCTCCATTAATCCTATTTACAGGATATGTCATCAATTTTTCTTTCTCTTTTTCCTTCTTTCTCTTTTCTTTTTCCTTCTCCTTTTGCCTTTTCTGGTATTTTTTCTTCCCAGTCCTGAAAACAGAAATTTGTCAAACAAGAAAAGTATGAATACATACTCTAAGGCACTAAAAAAAACAACTGCCAGGTACTAATCAGCATATTATGTAACTCCACCTACATTGTGTAAAGACATGAACATAGTGAAACAATTGTGAGCTTGCCATCTGTAAAACTGAATTAATACCTGCTTGGTCATAAATCTTAAAAGATGATGGTCACATGTTCAGTTCCTGATTTCTAATTGTGCAGTACCCGAACAAAGAACGCATTTTACATGTGTTGTACAATACCCATATTAAACACTACATTTCATGACGATCGCCACCCTTCAAGATAGTAAGTTTGAAACTTACAGACTAGCACACCAATCACAATAGATGAAATACACATTACACCTTGTAAATGCAAGAATTGGACTTTTTTTACAGCATTATCAAATACTCCACCCAGGAGATTTAAACATGTGTCAAAAACCCAAGGGCAGGGTGAGAGCTCTACTATCAATTTATATGTGGACACTGTCAAACTCCTCAACATCATGGCAATTCAGAATCCTGTTTTAGATTAGTTTTTTGTGCCATAGCACTTATTTGAATTTTGCATAAGAAATGCATTTTGCACATATTACATATGTTGCAGGGGGCCCACATCAAACACAAAGCGGTGAAACAACTATGGCACTTAAAATCAATGCATCTGGAAATATGTCTTTAGAAGTTTTCACACATCTTGTTAAAACATCACCTGCTGGAAACCTTTATAGAAATGAATGGGGAAACAAAATAGTGCCAGCAAGTGATATGTTAACAACGACAACATGCTAACAGTTTTAGTGAAGATAATAATGCTTCAACCTGTTTATACCAATACTTAATCTTAGATTAAAGTGGGAGGGTCATCAACTGCGACGATAACAACACACGCTAAAACACAAAAGCTCATGGGTAGACGCTCGTTTGTAAACAATGACACGCTATGGCCATCTGACGCATACGCAGGTGACAACTCCCCCGCTTTAATCCTCAAAGCGACAACATTTTCGTACTTGACACTTGTTGGATTCAACGCATGGGACCCATATAAAACACCACACAGTGCAACAATCTGCGGTGTATCATCACTGGTATTACTTATATAAGAACTTGTTAAACCACCTGCTCAAAAAAATCCCTCCAGCAAAGGTAAGGCTGACACAATTTTATGAGATGAAAGTTTCAACATGACTGGAAACCTACAAAGGTTGTTGTATTGAAAGCCAACAATACCATGGAGCTGCTCAATAACAAACCAGCTTTTCAGAAAACAAGTCTCAGCTTAAGCTTAAGCTTGCTCTATAAATGGTACCCACCCTCTTTGAAAATGGAATGTTCCAGAACTATTAAAAGAAAGAGATTATTTTTATTACCATATAATATTTCAAAATCTGGCCACCCACCTAGATGACAAAACTCTTATCAGCCACCAAACAAAGATATATTTCAGTTCTTAGTGTCCTGTACATTGCCATTAGTCAATTCTTTGCTTTGTTTTCTAAAAGTCTAAAAACCTGGAAAAAGTTGTTAGGGACATGTTTTAAATGAGCATGCACCAGTAATTTAAATAGTTTTTTCTGGGTCTGACAATTTATACCAATGGGGTCAAAGGTCACTCGAGAAGCAAATGAGTGGGTTGTCATTTATTTATAAATATTCCTATTCTTAATACTTTGAGATCATTCTTTATTGGGGCTTGAGACTATTGTGTAAAATAGTTTCTGATCTGTTGAGCCGTGGTCGTCACACTACATTGTGTTTGATATAGGACTCTTGGCAATGTATACATATGTTAAATACATTGCTTACACAGAATTTGAACATGCCCTGCATAACAACCACCAATATTTAATAAAGCTATAAAAATTAAATAACTATAAGATCACTTCCTGCCACAATTATGAAAATCGTGAACTATTAATAATTCAAAAACAAATTTGGTTTTGCCAAAAAATAGTTCCAAACGCATTTTATTATGTTTACTTAATATGTGGACGATGAATTCAAGCTTACAGTTTTTAGTTTGAACTTTGAATTTTTTATTTGTGAAGTCAATTGTCAATCACCAGTGAAGATAGCCATGTAGAAAGCGGCCATTTTGATAATGATGAAGACAACCGTAATTGAAACGAAATCTAATAAATGTACAGTATTTGCTCATATAGTAGCATGCACTCACTAAATGACAGGTTTGGGTTAAAATAAGTCTTAATGTAACAATCCAGCATGCAATACTGTAGAATACTTTATTTTCGCTTGGAATTTATTTTCGCTGAAGGGATGATTCAGTGAGAATAAAATCCAGCGAATATACTTTTTTTCCTATACTTCACATTAAACTCATCAAAAAACAGTGAAAATAAATTCCAAGCAAAACGCCCAAAAAGCCTTTTCAGCGAAAATTAATTCCAGCGAAAATAAAGTATTCCACAGTATATGAAATTTTTGTTTTAAATGTGCTTTTATTGGAGTTGCACTTCTAATAGTTTAAGAGCAAATAGGGTGACAGTTATTTTCCTATGGATGGATATAATTTCTTATTGATTTTGATCAGCAACGTTTTGGAAAGGGAACAATAGATGACTTTTCCAATCATGTGTAGATTGGGTAGACATGTTGTTCTAACAGGAA